CAGGAATGTAAATACTGGTTGGTTTAATTTCCTGAGCTGCTCTAACTTTCAGAGTCTCTAGCTTCTTTGTGTATAACACTTACTGAAAAGAAACCTAAATTGCAAAGAAGGCTAGCATGGCAAATTTTTAGCAACTATTAGTAGTTTCTTCTCTGGCAAAACTTTTTTTATTCTTGAAATAACTATCTGTATGAACATTCTTAAATCTAAAACCTGTTTTCTACAGTATGTGGATCAGTAAATGTTGGTGAAGAAGAGGAGGAATCTGAAGCAGGTTGGATTGAAGGAGCAGCAATCCTCCTATCTGTAGTTTGTGTGGTATTAGTAACAGCTTTCAATGACTGGAGTAAAGAGAAACAATTTCGAGGACTGCAGAGCCGTATTGAACAAGAACAGAAATTCACAGTCATCAGAGGTGGCCAAGTCATCCAAATACCAGTAGCTGACATAATTGTTGGAGATATTGCACAAGTGAAATATGGTAAACATATTTTTAAAGCTGAACTTTATTTTCTTTTTAAAAATGGAACTGTAGTCAACATACTCAGTCATATCTTGTAGGTGATCTTTTACCAGCTGATGGTGTACTCATTCAAGGAAATGACCTCAAAATCGATGAAAGCTCACTGACTGGAGAATCTGATCATGTTAAGAAATCTCTGGACAGAGATCCTATGCTGCTGTCAGGTGTGTAACCTTTGACAATTCTTGAAGAAAGGGATTTGTTTCTGAGGATAAGGTGTTTATTTAAAATTTTGAGGTTAAAATCTGGCAGACTGGAACTTATCTAGACTGGCTCCTAAAATTATCCAAAAACGGTGCAACTAGTACCACACTTTGTCAAATTGAGCAGACTCTTAAAACTGACAGACACTTTGTGTAGTTGCTTATGGTTTTATTTTCCAGATAGTTTTGGCAATTAAAGCTCTAGGGGAACACAATAGTATATATTCACATCTTAACGGTTTTGTCAATGTGAAGTTTGAGAATATATTTCCTTTGTGCTCTGCCATATAACTGCTCAAGTCTAAGTGGAAAACCTGATTCAATCTTTCAGGTACACATGTGATGGAAGGCTCTGGAAGAATGGTAGTTACTGCTGTAGGTGTGAACTCTCAGACTGGAATCATCTTTACCTTACTCGGGGCTGGAGGAGATGAAGAGGAGAAGGAGAAGGAAAAAGAAAAGAAAGACAAGAAAAGTAGGCATAATAATCTTAAATCCCTGGGGAGGAAGAGGTGAACTTCTGAATGTTACTGAATAAAAATGTATTCTAGTCATCTGGAGACAGAAATCTCTTTCTAAAACCTCATACTTTCAGTAGGTTTCACAGGAAAAAAAAAAACCCTCAATGTAGTGACATGAGGTCCAGTGAACTGACCGTACACCAATACTACTAACTCTTGTCATGTGGATTTTTTTAAGTAAACTTCAGATCTCATTGGCCAAATAAAGCTTGGAAAGCTTACAACTCCTAACCAGCCATATCATATATAAATTGTTAAACTGCTATCTTGTGTAACTTCAAAGTACATACATGTTTAACAGCAAATATTTGTTTAGGGCAAATAGATTTCTACCAATAACTCAACCTAGTAAGTGTCCACTTCTGCTTTTGACAGATAGAAAATGTCCTGTATAGGGAGTTCTTCTATGACACTATGACAGGGGAAAAGCTTGTATCATTGATACTGCTGAGTCTGTAAATATCTTAAACATACGTAAGACTGCTTTTGATAAAGGTGAGCAGATAGCTACTTCTGCCACTCCCTTTTCTTGCAGAGCTGAAACTTTGAATGCTCAGAGAGATACACAAGGCAAATCTCTAGAAGCATTTTTCTGTAAACTTTATTTTTGCAAGGATTATCGGCTTGAACCCAGAACAAGTGTGAAATGGGCTATCTTCCTTATTTTGAAGGACTTACTCAGTAGCTGGAATTATAAGGTCACTTTTCTAAGCCATAGCCTTTACCCTAAGAATCAAAGCTTAGAAATGTTAACCAGTAATGCTTTGACACTAGCTCTCGCAAGGCATGTTCAGGACTGAGCTTCACAGCAGCAGAAATTTTTGTAGCAGCTGTTGTGAGGTTTACTGGATGTGACTGAGTCTGAGGATTTTTGGCAGAATTTATACTTTTTCATCAGCAGAATATGAACCAGTTATTGAAAGCCACACAGAAGTGTGCTTAGGAATCTCATTTGCCTTCAAACTAAAGAGGCAATTGTTGAAATGTGTACTCTGTGCAGGAATTAGGATTGAACTGTGCTTTTTTGCTGTCTTTTTTAAATCCACAAATATTTTACATTTCTGACCCTTCTTGAAACTTAAAGTGGTAAGTTTCTTCAGAACCAAGTGACAAGAATTGTTACAAGAAGAATGGAAATTTCAAAGTTGCTTTCAAGCTCAAATGTGGTAGTGAAGAGTAAAAGTTGACCTACAACACTTGGAGATATTAGTGTGGAACGGTTTCTATCCTTTGCT